GGCTTTTAGTTGTGCCACAGGTATGGAACTTAGAAACACAGAATAAATCTTAGTTCTACACAAAAGCAGAGTCCATTGGAATTCCACCAAGGAGATGAGTCCATGCAATTTCCCAATGCCATGGACCATTGCTTTGTATGAGGAAATTATTTCTTATTCTCAAATGCACAGATCTGAGAGCAGGGCACAGTGAGTAAGGAATGTGCATGGACTTCCATGAATTTACTCATTGTAAACACAGATTTATCCTCAGGGTTTGGTTGATGACAGTGTGTGAACTGCACTGTGAGATGGGAGTGGAGGTAGAGAAATCTCATGGTGCAGGATGCTAGCAAGTAGGGAAGAATACAATGCCACCACCAACTGCTACAAAAATGTGCAGGTGCATGAGGGTGGGTGTTAAATTTCATATTCATCTATCTGTAAACTTGATTGATAAAGCCTTGCCACACCATCTCCCAAATCTGAATTCCATTCTCCTGTTTCTCCCCTTCAAGGACATTTTAATTTGATATAAGCTTCATAGAAATATTTGGAAGCTGGAGGAATATGCAATCGATCTTCACAGGGTCCCAAATCTTCCAATGGAAAAGAAACATAATATTTTTCAAAGGTGTGAACTACTAAATTATTTTTATAAACCTTTGGGTGGGATCATCAGAAAACAGAAAATGACTTTGCTGAATAAAATATCTTTAAAATTCCTAATTTAAAAAATATTTTATGAATGAATCCTATTTCTCTAATATTTAAAGTAAGAATGAATGATTCCTAGTGTCTCAGTTTTGAGGAGAAAACAATTAAAATCTATAGCGCATAAATAAAGCCCAAACACATTGCCTCTAGCATTTTCATGTTGCTACTTTCAGTATATGTGAAAAAGCGCTTTACCTGGCTCAAAATCACAGGTCACTTATTAAAAATTTCCATTGAAACCACACCCATAAAAGCATTAGTAGAAATCCCATAGCTCCTGAGCATGCCTCCAAGACTGTTTTAATAATTTATCCTGCCCTGAGAGAGTGAGGTTATATATGAAATCTTCATTCCTGCTCTGAGCCTTACAGATTTTATCTAAGAACTAATAGTCTTAGTGTAAACATACCCTAAAGGGTCAGACTTGCTAATACACATTTAATTCTTTCCGTGGATGACCACCTCCCTTGAGAAAACTATCCAATCATAAAAGTAACAAAGATTTGCAGCAAGGGTCTGACACTGAATACGGAATAAGTGGAGAATGAGATAGCTGGGTTTTGATTACAGTCCTTAACAAAATCCGTTTACCACTGGGATTTTTGGTTAACTAAAGCTCATCACGTCTAATCTGGAGAAACGCAAGAGGCCCTGAGGCCCAAATGGGACAAAATTATGTGGCCAACATGGTAAATACACCTCTAAAGGGAGAAATGTCGTTTCCTAGGACATGAACTATCTGAGAAGTTAGTGCTCACTAAAATCTTGATGTCTTAGAAAGAAACCATTATTATTGTTTATATTCTTTGAAGGTGCCCTCTCTTTACTACTAGGCTTAATGTAAAAGAAAATAAAAACTCTTTTAACAGCATAATTCAACAGTTCAACACTGTAGGCTTTTTACAGCAGGGAAATGACAATCCTCGGGAGTTTTGTAAAATGGTCTCTAACATCATTCACTCATTTACTAGAACAGTAATAAATAGTTATTCTGAATAAAAATCTCACTAGGGTATCAAAGCTTTTTGGAAATTATGACAAGTGAGCAACGCTGATTTGTTGTTGCTAAGTATAGTTTAGAAGTTTTGTCTTAAGACTGGGCTCTGAAGTTAACCTCATCAGCATTAACGGCTTTTGATTTTAAGTGTATTTTCTTCCATCTGCAGATACTGGTGAAGGATAGAAATTGTTTCACTTAATGACACCAGCTCTGTTTTAGAAAGGTATTATTGCCACGATCACAAGCTTGGATTTAGACAGATGAGGGATTCTTTGCCCAAACTTTCATGAATGAAATCAGCTAGGTGTGTCTTTTATTCACACTCCCTCCCCGCCCCTGCCCCCCCCAATTCCTTCCTGGACATTCAGCTCATATTAGGGAGGAGGCTCAACACAATGTGTGCCAGGTACCCCAACTTTCACTCCTACTGAGCTTTGAGTTAACAGACAATTCAGGTATCCAGGGAGCACTTGATCACCGACCTGATAGCCAGCTGGATAACAGGACATTTCCCAGGTAACTATAGAGAACCAAGTATAACCTGCTTCACTTGACGATACACTTATTTCTTAAGGCATGCTAGCAATGTGTCAGGAGCTTGTTCTTGTCGAGGTTATAGGCAAGTTCAGCAAACACTTGTTCTGCAGCACACTCTAAACACATCTTTACTTCTCACTTCTTTAACATTTACCTCTCCAAAGCCAAGCTGGTTAATTACTTTCTTAAGCAATTAATTAAAATTAGTTAATTACTTAAAGCACTTACAGCAATTGTTTAATTGTAACAAAATTTATATGGATGTATTGAGAATCCTGTCCAACTACCTTTTGTGATGATTTTATATATTTACTCCACTGGACCACAAGATGCCCAGAGAGCTGGTTAAACGTTATTTCTGGGTGTGTCTGTGGTGGTGCCTGCAGAAGAGATTAGCATTTGAGTCAGTAGGCTAAGTAAAGCAGATGGCCCTCCCCCGATGTGGGTGGGCAGCCTCTCCAGTCTATGGAGGGGCCGAACAGAACAAAAAGGCAGAGGAAGGTTGAATTTGAGGACCTCTGCCTGCTTGCTTGAGCTGATGCTCCTGGTTCTCAGGCCTTTAGACTCAGACTAGAATCTATACCATCAGCTCCCCGGTTCTCAGGTCTTTGAACTTCATGCTGGTGGCTTTCTTCCATCTCCAGTTTGCAGAAGGCAGATAGTGGGACTTCTCAGCCTCCATAATCACGTGAACTGATACCTTACAGTAAATCTCTTTATATATATTTATCTCCTATTGGTTCTGTTTCGCTGGAGAACCCTGACTAATACACTCTCTATTTGGAAACCTGTTTTCCCCCCTAATCTGTAAAGGTTATCAGTGGAACCAATGAAGTGTGCATCACTGAAACACAGCACATCCACATCCCAAACAGTCACCTCCTCTCTGCCAAATGCCCTCCCAGACCAAAGGACAAACTCACGGCCAATTACACTGTTCTGCACCTTGCTCGTTAAATCACTGGGTTCCCAGACCTCACAGGAAGTTTCCTAGGTGCATGGCTTCAGGGATTTTATACTATTTATTCATTTAGTCAATAGTTTACAGTCAGTAGATATTCTTCTAACTATTTAAATTAGTATATGCTAATGTCTTCTGCATCTTACCAACTGATTACTTTTGTGCAGGAAAAGACTAACCTTGAGTCCCAAAAACCTAGCCAATTATCCAACAACCAAGGCAATCTCAGGTTCTCTGAGATACAAAGCAAATTTCAAATGATAAATTCCATTTGGTTTCAGAGAACTTAAACAGACTGGTGTGTTTACTCCCCAGAGATCCCTTTGTTTCTGTCAAAAGTAATGCATTTTTAATACACAATTAAATATTATGATAAAAAATACATAAGCATTTAATTCTGAACTTTCCTACTGCTGAGTGAATCCTAAGTTTATTTTCAATAGCTATTTCACTGAATATAATTATAATATTAAAGAAAAATTCTCTTGAAAATTACTAAATGATCTGCTCTCTGTGATATAAAAGTCACCCTACAGTACACATTTACATTTTAATTATTTATATAACTAACAGCAAAAGCTAAAACCAATTGAAAAGAATAACTAAGCTAAATTCTAGTTTCATGTGCTCCAGACAGAAGAGAGAAAACAAAATTGAGGCTCCTTGATTTGCATGTGAATTTGGGCAATCCTTCATCTAACTCAATTCTCCCATCCAGAGGGTAGAGTTGACTCACAGGAATAAGCAGTTGAATACTTCCTAGGAATTTGCTCACGAACTGGGGAAGTGGATAGACCTTTCCCCTGATTAATTCAGAGTTCTTCAGGGATGTGTATTCATGTTTTCATGCACAGCAGCCCTATTTGGGCCAATGATTAGTTTTTGGTCTTTTGTACTACTACTCTGAGCTCGCTGTGGAAGAACAAGGGAGGGCCAATGGCTATGAATTCAAAGTCAGGAGAGCAACATCTCTCTACAAAAGGAGCGAACTCCGGAAGTAATCTTTTCTCTCTTTTCCGAATTCAAAGGCTTCTCAGCCTATGTTTTCAAAGATGGACAAAAATGTTGAGTGGAGGGAAAAAGAATTACTATAAAATAATAATTTAGGGGCCTAAATGAGAATAAAAGATGCTTGATTTTAAGTTTGTTGTCATAGTTAAAGCGTCTCATTTGTCCAAAATAAACTTCCAGGAGCACAGCCAAAAACTATAGCATAAAATGAAAATCAAGATAAAGTTGGACTAATAAGAAATGCTGACAGATAATCATGTAAAATAAGGCAGTTTTCGTTTTAGAGATGAGCAGAACAGACAAGAAAATAAGCAATTGTGTGTCTGCCATTTAAGTACAAATGCCAGCTACCAAGAGGGTACCATTAATTCTTGTTCCAAGCAAACATATCTTTGCCTTCTTTTCAGGGGATTCTGTTTAACCTCTTGAAATTTTTGTTTCATTTTTTAAGTCTCCTACCTGAGTTACCAATGGACAAAATTTCTCTTTGTCTTTGGCTAGACATTTCTTTCTTAAAGAAAGACAATGGTGTTTGTCTGTATTTCTACTGGCGATGATTTTGGCCTGGTTATTTGAAATCCATGCCTACGACCAAGCAAGGAAAGGCAATGTGGTTGTAGCAAAGAGATTAACAAAAACACATCAAGGGTAATATAAACAATTAAAATGTTTTAAGCTATTAGAGACTTCCATAAAAATAAGTACTGAATGGAGAGATCAAACAGGGTGAAATTGCTTAGTAATCATTCATTCAATCCTTTATTACTTACCTTCAAACATGTAGTGCGTGTTAATATGTAAAATTCTGTGAGGGTTTAATGGAAAAAGTCACCAAATATGATTATATCTGAGTGCACGTGTTTACAAACATATATATATATATGCATATATATATATATATGTATATATACATATATAGGGTGGGGGAGAAAGGCAGACTCTTAGTAAGAAAGAAGGGAGGTTCCAAGCAAAATTGAAAGTTAAACTTTAATGACGTAGATAGTCTTCAGAAATTAGAACAATCATATTGGATCATATTACTTTTATTTAATGAAACCATTTAAACAGCTTCAGGAATTAGAAGTATAGATATTTAACTTAAACCAGAGACCAAATTTATAGAAATCATACTCAATAGATTTGGTAATAGAAACAGGATTGCAAGATTTAGTAAATAAACGTACAGGATACCAGGTAAATTCAGATTTCAGATAAACCACAAATAATTTTTAGGACAAGTATATCCCCATGCTGCGTGGGACACACGGAACAGACTGCAAAGGAAAGATGTGTTTGCTTGAAACAAGAATTAAGGCTGACCCTTGGCAGCTAGAACTTTTACTTCCACAGCAGACACACAATTACTTAGTTTCCTGTCTGCTTATCTCTAAAAGGAAAATTCCTTCATTTTATATGAATATTTATCAGCATGGGACATTTATATTTTAAAAATTTGTTGTTTATTTGAAACTCATATTTAACTGGGCATCCTGTATTTCATCTAGCAACACTAGAAAATGCTAGAATTACTTTCAATATCAGGGATATTTAACATAAAAAAAAAGTTGATCCAAACTTTATATATTTAACCCTCAAAAAGTAGTAGTTGAAGTTTTAGGCAAGGAGAGGTTTATCAAATGTAGTTATGTTCAATGTTTAGTAGAGGTATTTTTCAATGTGTCTGATTTATAACCCTTTTCCAACCCAAAGTGCCTAATTTCAAGTTTTACAAACTTTACAAAAAAATTAGGTTTTGTTTTGTTTTTTTACTTTGAAATTTAGAGATACAGGGGAAGGAAAAAGGTCTTAATATCCTTTGAATATCTGTGATTCCCTCTTCACGTTGTTCAACGCCGTTCCAATATGTTCTTGCCTAAGACAGTCAACCCAACCTGTCTCCTGTCATTTCCTCTCTGCCCAGTTGTACATGGCTCTCCAGGCTGTTTCCTGCTGGGTTCAGGGTCTTCAGAACAACCCTCAACTCTGGCATTCACTCCCGATGAATTCTTCGGCTCAGCAGTGACCAGGAAACTGACTGAAATGTTTTGAGTCAGGTAGATTTCCCCGAGGTGTTGATTTGTCTGTATCTCCAATTACTTAATAAAACCAACATGGTTAGTAAATATTTCAGTGCCCATAAAGAACCACAAAAACACTCCACTGCCCTCTTGCTTGGTAAAGACTATCATGCCATTTGATACAAACTATAACTTAATATAGATCCCACAGATAGATTCTAGAAACTCTCACTCTAGACATCAACAAAAAGAGCTCAGAGACGAAGTTCATTTGCAGCAAGACTGTTCTCATCTCAGCTTAGAGTTGCTCAAACAGGGCTCCTGAAAGTAAGATCTGTGTCAGAGATTCTTCGGTTGGGTGAGGTAGAAGTTTAATGATCAAATATCTGTACAACACGGAGTGATACTGTAGGTCACTGTGAATAGGACATAAGGAAAATTAAACATTGTTATCTCAATAGTGAATTTTATACTTTTTAATAAGTTCCCAAATAAAGCATACCTGTGTGAAATTATCTTATTTGAATTTGTAAGAGTTATTTATACATTCCAGAGACAAATACTTTGTCCAGTATATGTATTGCAAATATCTTCTCCCAGTCTGTGGCTTGTCTTTTAATTTCTTTAACAGTGTCTTCTTTTTTTTTTTGCCAAGGAAGATTCACCCTGAGCTAACATCTGTTGCCAATCTTCTTTTTTTTTTTGCTTGAGGAAGATTAGCCCTGAGCTAACATCTCTGGCAATCTTCCTCCACTTTATACGTGGGTCGCTGCCACAGCCTGGCTGACAAGTGGTATAGGTCTGCACCCAGAATCTGAACCCATGAACCTGGGCCACCAAAGTGGAGCACGCTGAACTTAACCGCTACCCTACGGGGCCAGCCCCCAGTTTAACAGTGTCTTGATGAGCAGAAAACAAATTTTTATAAAGTATGATTTATAATTCTTTTCCTCTTAAGAGTCTAGTTTAAGAAATCCATGTCTACCTCAAGGTAATGAATATATTCTCCTATGTTTTCATTTCTATAGTTTTCTAAATTTTCTGAAGTTTTAATTTTCTAAAGTTTCTATAAAACTTTTTAGTTTTAGTTTTTATGTTTAGGTTGTAATCCATCTCAAATTAATTTTGTACATGATGTGAGTTAGAGATTGAGTGAATGTTGTTCGGCGTGGTTTGCTTTTTTGCAAAAGTCATATCATCTCCAACTTCTGCTTGCTTTTGTTTGTTTTCCAGTGGCCTTCAAGTAGTAGTAGTTGTTTTAAAATTTTTGTCTAGGGCCTATAATTATTACCAATAGGAGGATGTTTTCATCCATTCAGGCTGCTATAACAAAAACAGCATAGACTGGGTGGCTTAAACAAACATATTTCTCACAGTTTTGGAGGCTGGGAAGTTCAAGATCAAGGTGCCAGCTGACTCAGTGTCTAGTGAGGGCCTGCTGCCTGGTTCATAGAGGGCCATCTTCTCTCCGTGTCCTCACATGGCAGAGAGTGAGTCCAATCCACCACTGCATTCTCAGAACCTTTTCCAAACACAACCAACATCTTCATGTCCAGGGAGCTTGGTGATAGTGCCTAACTGGCCAGCTCCTTCGACACCTTGCCAGACAATCTTGTACCAGCCAGTTCCTCTGAGAGATGGACCAAACCTCTGAAAAGCATGAGAAATCTTAGGTTATGTGATGTGAAAAATGTGTGCTTTAAATAGAGGCTGAGCAGTCTCATCTTAGAGTTCAGGGTGAGCACCCAAAAGCTCTCATGAAAGAAATTTTGTAATTTGTCACATAGTGTATCTATAACAATTTACTCATTTTATTGCTTGGTACTAATCTTTTAGTTTGCAATAAACCTTTTCCGCAGTAATGAGATAAAAAGTACATGTTTAATGAAAAATTAACAAGTGGATTTCCATTTCTCAGGACTGTTGATGATAAGTAATTTGTTTGTCTATATTTACTGTCCAACGTGGGGGCAATTCTAACAGCAGAAATTGTGAAAACCAGAAGACACAGATCTGCCAAAGAACTAGCAGCATCTACTTGAAAAGCTAGTAGTTATATTGACCATTTAACTCATCCATCTGAAGACAATGACTTAACACATACCCACAGAGGTACCGCACATCACTTTGTGAAGCACAACTTTTCAAGTAGATCAAATGACTATTCTTTTAAATTAATTTAACTTATTTTAGTTTCAAGTTTTCTTATGCATATATAAATAATGCAATAGCTGTTAATATATTGGTTCCATTAACTGAAATAAAACTTTGAAAATAGTTTAATGAAGCCAGTTTTATGTTAGTATCATCAAAGGCCTCCAACAGATAATCAGTTAGATTTATTTTTAAAATGCTTTGTTCTCATCCAATTTATAAAATCAGAGTAAGACTCTTTTTTAAGTTCATGCTTTCAATTGAACATCCAACATGGGTCAGTTATAAAGTTCAATAGTAAAGATAAAATTATGTCTGCTTTGGTGATATTGCAAATACAAATTTTGATGGAGGACAGCGTTACAATAAAAACATTTTTATTAAATGAAGAAATCTGCGGAACAAAACTGTATTTGGAATTGGTTGCGGTACACACATAATTCAAAACTGCAACCAATATTTTCTGATGTTCTGCCGATTGAAATAGAAGTTGTAGTTATTCAAATTCATAATTATTACTTTATTTTTTTTGAAGAAGATTAGCTCTGAGCTAACATCTGCCACCAATCCTCCTTTTGTTGCTGAGGAAGATTGGCCCTGAGCTAGCATCCATGCCCATCTTCCTCTACTTTATATGTGAGAAGCTTGCCACAGCATGGCTTGATAAGCCATGCATATCTCCACACCCAGGATCTGAACCGCAGATCCTGGTGAGTCGCAGGCGGCCAAAGCGGAACATGTGAACTTAATCGCTGAGCCATGGGGCTGGCTCCCATAATTATTTTTATATATACATATATTATCGAACTATACAATTTTTGTTAGTAGGATGATCTTGAATATAAAATAAATACTTCATCATGGCACTATGTGCTTTTTCTCTTTTCTGACTAACGTCAATTGGATTTTAGTATACTTGAAAATCTGGAGAACTACTTTTTAAATTAATTGTCTTAAAATGGTATTGAGCATTTGCAAATGAGCCCTCTAAATTTTTTCAGGATTTTGTTCAAAATCACTTAAAAATCTTGAATCAAAATAGTCAGTGAATGAAGTCCCAGAACACTTCAGCTTTTGAAGCTTTTATTGAGTTGCTATTATTGAAAACAGAGCTTGCAAACAGAAAGGCATTAAAATTTACAGCTTAACAGCAAGGGAGCTATTGAACAAATTGAATAATAAGAATGCAAATGGTGTGCAATATTAAATTTTGAAATTCTACAACTCTGCTTTAGAATGGTGCTTTCCAAACTATCTGTGATAATGAACCAATTTTTTTAAGATGTTCAATCTTTCACAAAACAGTACTTTTATAAAGTACAATAAAAATAAGTTAACAGAAAAATGAAATGGACAAAAAAGACATATAAAATTCAAGCCCATGTCTTTTATTATTAGCTTATGTAGACATAAAATTACATTTTAATAAATATAGTTAGAGTAAAGATAATAGAGGAAAAATTACAATTATACAAGCTGCTCATTGAAACTGTACATATAGGCAACTAATATATAGAAATGCTAATAGACACCTAACTTTTTGTCATTCTGCAATCATGACGCAAGAAAAAATAATGATTAAAATACAGTTCCACATAGTAAACACCTATAGGCATACTTTCAATAAGCAGCATGTACATCAATATTTAAAGTTTTTAATGTGACCATTGAACTTGCTTTTTGATTGCTAATTTATCTAATCTAGGTTGGATTGACAGCAATGCTACTTATGAGAGATAATATATGTCTGAACTATTTCTTTATTTTATTAGTATAAAAACACACCAGAGAAATCAGAGTCACAAATATGTCGATGGGAACGGAAGAGATTTTCTTTTATTTCAACAAGCTCAATTTATTATTTTTTAACTTTAATCTAAAATCAAGCAAGTGATACTGTATTTTCAAAATTCATATTTAATCCTGCATAGGTAGCCAGTTCTGACAATTTGTCCTATAAAGTTATAGGTAAACTTGTTATATAATTTTGTGAAAGAAATGAATTTCCTATGCAAAATCTTATTGTGATGGAAAATAAAAGTCAAAATATCCCATCAAGTCATGAGGTATTTGTTGATAAACTTTTTGGATGTACAGTATCAAGATCATCACCTATTTCCTTGATAATTGTTGTTTAATCATGGAACAGGTGATAATAATCTATAGAAAATCTGTCTTCCAAGTTTCTAACTCTAAATTTTGCCATTCAGTCTTTTCTGTCCCTGAAAAATGTGGTGCATTCTTTCATTCTATGAATGCAATAACATCCTTAAAAATTCCAAAAATAGGGCCTGGCCCTGTGGCACAGCAGTAAAATTCACACTTTCCACTTCGGCGGCCCGGGGTGCGCCAGTTCAGATCCCGGGTGTGGACATGGCATTGCTTGTCAAGCCATGCTGTGGTAGGCGTCTCACATATAAAGTGGAGGAAGATGGCCACAGACATTATCTCAGGGCCAGTCTTCCTCAGCAAAAAGAGGAGGATTGGCAGCAGATGTTAGCTCAGGACTAATCTTCCTCAAAAAAAAAAAAAAAATTCCAAAAATATCAGACAACAAGCAAATCTAGTGTCCAATTTACATCTTTAAAAACCTGGAACCAAATTGTTTCCTTATCTGGCAGAAACACATTCTCAACAGAATTTTACCCTCAATAACAATAATACCTCCACATGCAATAGCAGTTATATGTAATCACTTTCCATATTATCACCTAATAGAGAATATTCTCGAATTTAACATCTGTGTAAAACTAGTATGAAATTCATTGGTCTTTTCTCCGAAATCACTTCCAACACCATCATCACCATTGTGTTTCCTATCACTATCGCATTCAAAGAAGGCATGTGTTTTCAAGTGTAAGAGCAGAGCTTATTTTGCCATCAGTAAATTAGGGTCAAAAATAGGTAAGAGCCAAACAATTCAGATAAGCTATACAAGTATAGCTGTTTTGGAAATCCATTTAAGAACTGATTACAAAAGGAAACCTAAATGAACCAAACTCCAGAAAATGAGAAGCCCTCAAGAGAAAAAAACAATCCACTGCTGCTGTCATCTCTGAAACACAGAGGGGGAGCAATCTGCCACTGACAAAGTTAAGGAGCAACCAGCCTAAGTCTCACAAACCATTTAGGGCTGTGTGTGAGCTGGCCTGATGGATTAGTATCCTGAAAAGCCCAAGGCACAAAGTTGAGAGAAATTACCCTTGGCACTCCAGGTTTTCAGGTAAGGAAGACTGGGGTAGGGGCAGAAAAGCTGAGAGAAATCTCTCAGGGTAATGCCTGTCTTCAGAGAGCAGAGCGTAGGCCAGCTACAGCCATCCTCCAAAGGCCAAGAGGGGTGCAGCAGGAATGAAAAAGATCAGCGAAGACTCAGAAAGCAGGGACAGCACTGGAAAGCAATGAGAACTCCCCAAACACTGCCATCCAGAACGTAAAGCGGGAAGAGATCTCCCACAGTTCAGAAGGCATGTGGCTCAGCTGTGAAATACAGCAGATATCCTGAAACCGGCCAGTGCTGGGATCCCAAGCCCTGCTGAAAGGAAAGGCTAGATCTATGTCAGATCCCTCAGTGCATCATTATCATCATTTTATTAACTCAGTAATCATTTAGATTTACCCACATTTATTCTTTCCGTTGCCTTACATTTCCTCCTGAATCTCTGAGTTTTCTTGTGGAATCATTTTCCACTTCTTAAAGAATATCCTGTAGTACTTCCTTTAAAATAAGTGAGCTAATTTGGAAGAATATTTTTGCTGGGTAAAGAGATTTATTATGTAAATAGAACTGCCATTTTAAATGCTTTTATAGACCCTAGTTCTTGAAACTCCAGAGGATTTCCCTCTTCATAATTAGGTCATAGCTAATTTGGACACTGTCTTACAGGAAAGCATATCTTTCAAGTAGATATAACTTGAAGATCTCTGCAAGGTACCAGACTCCCCATGGCCCAGACATTTTATCACTATTGGCCGGATTTGGGGGACTGAACCCATCAAAATTCAGACTAACCTAACCAACGCTTCACCCAAGCTTATACGATACCATTTAAATCCACAGCCAAAGCAAGGATTAAGGTCCATAGTATAAACACCAAGAGAACTAGGATGTAATATGCCTTGAACTTTCCCTTGAATTACTCCTAACCTGCCTTAGATAAGAGTTCCAAATCTCAGGGCTATTAATAGAATGATTATACCTCACTTTCCAGAATTGCTTGATCCTCTGGATAAAATGCCTATAGTCATCATCCTATATTATTCAGAGAGTCATTTTCCTTCCATTTGCCCCTTCCCGTACCTAATATATGCCTACATTATTAACCCTAACTTCTGATCATGGGAAAAAAAAATGGATTCTGACCCTGGAAGAACAAAATGCTTCTGTAAAATCATTACAGTAATGTCCATAGAGACCGGGAATGCAACAGAGTTAAGAATAAATACCGTGGCTATTTTTTCTGCATAGCTCACTTTTTCTCCACAAAGACTCTTCGAGC